GTAATGCGTTGGAATTATGTAAATAAGCGCTGTTGGCAGCGATTTCGGCGCGATGCCCTCTACTTTAGAATAGTGGTAAGGTATGGACTTTATATAAAATAAAGTTATACATGAACTCTCATAACGGCTTTGGTATCTCAAGATGGGTGGAGTCCAGATACTGAGCTAGCAGACTCCAGTTCTCAGCTAACAGTGGCGCCTTAAAAACATTGGCTTTAAATTTTTTTTTACGCCCAGAAAACTGTAAGCCCTCTGTGAGAGAGAGAGAGAGAGAGAGAGAGAGAGAGTGAGAGAGAGAGAGAGAGAGAGAGAGAGAGAGAGAGAGAGAGAGAGAGAGAGAGAGAGAGAGAGAGAGAGTATAACGTCTCCTTTCTATCTTCAAGCTATCTACTATAACTGCACACTAGCTTTATAGGACCCGGTATACTACGCACTATAAGTATCTTCATGCTATACTATCTGAGCTCTCAGATGCATAGCTAATATACCTGAATCAGAATGAGAATGACAGCTAGCACGCGCTCTCCACCATCAGATCAGATGGTGTGCTACCAACCCATGCTGAATCAGAACGAAAAAGAGTTAAAACGCGCTCCCTATCACCGCGTGCTACCAAACGATGCTAAATCAGAACCAGCAAGAGCTAGTATATATACATACTAAGAACTATACAAGGTACGCGTCGCAGTGGCTCCAATGGTACAGCACTAGCCTATAGACCCAGAGAACGCGGGTTCGATTCCTCCGACGCGTCCGTTCAGTTTTTGAAAATTAGTAGCTTAGCCAAATACGTAACGAAGTGTTCTTCCTATATTCATTGTTCAATTGAAGAATAAAAATAATAATTTATATGAAATCAATCTGTCCATAAATTAATTCATTCTACTGATCGAAAACTATCAGAATGAGAGGACTAGGATCTCTAATTCCTAGGGATAAATCTGTCCTAAAACATACAAATATGCATAGGACTTAGTTCTTAGGGACAAATTTGTCCTGAAACATATGTGACAGGGCGAACAGCGACAATCACTGGCCCTGTGTGTGGCACTCTCCTCGCACGGACGCAGCGACTAAGCGTGGTTATGGCAACATGGCATTCACGCTTGGTTTGTTCCAGAATTCGCGAGAATCAGGAGAAAAGCCAGAGAAAAAGTCCGAAGAGGAGCCAGAGAGAGAGAGAGAGAGAGAGAGATAGAGAGAGAGAGAGAGAGAGAGAGCGAGAGAGAGAGAGCGAGAGAGAGAGAGAGCGAGAGAGAGAGAGAGAGAGAGAGAGAGAGAGAGAGAGAGAGAGAGAGAGAATTCGAAGAGAGGGTAGAGAAAGGCTGGAGAAAATTTGTGAAGCCGATCTACTCAGCATACTCTCTGAAGGAGCAGTACGCCAAAAAAATACCAGGATACGAATCCGGCAGATCGTCATCTCCGTCAAGGCAAAGGCAGCCAAGAAGTTCTGGCAGAATCCTCCTCAATTAATCCTCGAAGCTGAACAGCGGTGCCGGTATTGTCATCCCTCAAGCGCCTCTGCCAGTTGGACTACGCTTCCACCGCCTTCGGACTGGCACCTGCGAGCGAAGTACAATGGAACCTGGTGAGTCGTTCTCCAGAGCATTTAATTTTCCTCTGCACCAGCTCGTGCAATTGTGATTTCTTCTGTTTACATCGAGGGCACTGAGCGAATTCGCTCACGTTCTCTTCGCTTAAGTTACACTTCATTGTCGCGTCTCCGCGAGTGAGCTAATACGCTCACTCTTTTATAATATTTCTGTTAATTTTAATTCCGATTTATATGTTTATACTTGTTTGTAAAATTATATTGTTATATGAATTATTTTGTAATTATAAAGTGATGCCCCTTCCAAAATTCAATTTTCCATTTCTATCTTTAAAAATCATTAAATAATTACTTGTATTGAACATCCCTTGAAATCAATTCATATAAAATCTCATTTTGAACACTCGTAAATATACTTGTTCCAAACAGTTGTAACAACCCATTCTGATACCACGTAATAAATACCCATTTTCATCACCTATAAAAATACCGGTTCTGATCATCCGTAGTATATGGGTTATTCTTGGCTATTTCGATTAACTTATAACCCTTAGTTTACGGATTTTTTTTAATTTGGGACAATTCTTGTACATATGAAAGTGAGATTTTTCCCAAATTTTGATGACGATACATTAATTATATCAAAAGTTAATAACAATTAAAGAAAAACGATAAAAAATTTTCAAACGGCTATATTTTAAAAACTAATAAAGATATCGAAGTCAGATTTTTTCCAAAATACTTATAATACCTTGAACTTTCGAAATAGTTACAACAATAAACAATAAAAATTTTTGTTCGAAAGTTATTAACTTTTTGTTTAAACAATTGCTAATATCTCAAAAAGTATATATACTCGTATATTTTTTTAATTCTTACTCCTGCGTGTTCCTAAGGATTTTTGCTATCGAAATCAATCGTAAAATTCAAGGGCCCAACATATCAGAAAGCGTAGCCCTAATCAAAAGAAGATGCCTCGGTGTACATCACAACGACAGTGGGACGTCTTCACGGTCTTACGCTGAGGCGTTTTCTTCTAATTAGGGCTACGCCTTCCAATATGTCGAGCCCTTGAATTTTATGACTGATTTCGATAGCAAAAATCTTCAAAAACACGCAGGAGCAAGAATTTTTCAAAAACAAAATATACTTTTTGAGATATTAGCAATTGTTTAAAAAAAAGTTAATAACTTTCGAAAACAAATTTTTATTGTTTATTGTTGTAATTATTTCAAAAGTTTAAGGTATTATAAGTATTTTGGAAAAAATCCGACTTCGGTATCTTTATTAGTTTTTAAAATGTAGCCGTTTGAAAATTTTTTATCATTTTTCTTTAATTGTTAATAACTTTTGATATAATAAATGTATTGTCATCAAAATTTGGGAAAAATCTCACTTTCATGTGTACAAGAATTGTGCCAAATTAAAAAAAAATCCGTAACTTAAGGGTTATAAGTCAATCGAAATAACCAAAAATAACCCATATACACGTTTTGAACACCCCTGTAAGTACCCGTATCGGTCACCCGTAAAAATTCCTGTTCTGAATAATAGTGGCAAGTACCTGTTTTGATCACTCGTGGTAAATACTTGTTAGAAACAGACAGGGACCGATAGGAAGCGAGGCATAATAGCCCCAAGCAACTTACTAAGACTAACTCTTCGACCTTATGGATATCACATAACGAGTGCGAGGGTTCTAGTGATTAATAACTGCTTTCTCAAGCACCCGTTGTAAACATCGGTAAAATTAACTGAAAAGAACACCTTATATAACCAGGTGTTGTAAATGGGTCAAAACACCAGGTGAATTTTTTCAACAGGGACTTAATATAGTCAGTAGATGGAATTCTACATATTCATAAAAAATTTCTGTAAAGATTATCTTTTAATTTTTATTCTACAAAACTAATAAATTTTATTATTCAACCAGCTATGAATAATTTTAAATATTAACTGCAATATGCAACTATAAGTTATAGTATATATATATATATATAACTATATATATATTTCAAGTTAAGTAAGTATGGTCTTCAAAATAATTGTTTCATATTTTTCCAATTAGCTAAAGAAACTACAAAGATTCTTTATGCTTTACGTGGAAGATGGATTATATAAACACAAATCATGCAGTTTTAAAGGTAAAATATAAAGAAAATTATAATTTAACCTGGTTTGCATAAATTATAAACATATTATTTAGAGGATATCGTATTACACTGTAGCCTATGAAAATTGAAAATTTTATTGGGAGTATTTAAAGTTATACTTCAAGACACTTATTTCAAATAAATTTCAGAATTCTTTTAAGTAAATTAGTTTGAAGAACATTAAATTAGGTTCACAGTTTTTCTAGACAATAAAATTCATAAAATCTATCATAATTTATCAATTTGGAGGTTTCATTCAATACAATAATTTCCCCTCATTCTTTACATTATTTTTCAGGGTGGACAACTTCTATAATTGATCAATGGTAAATATTAAATGAACATAAATGATTAGAATTTACAAAGTTTAGGTTCCTAAATAAATATCATAGAAACAGCTATGATATTTATTCTATGATATTTATTCTTGCTCACTGCTATATGCGTGGTGTGTGTGTGTGTGTGTGCGTGTGTGTGCTGTGATAATAAAGAATTATATTATTGTCCCTGTGTTTTAATGTAAAGGATAGATACCTGTGCTATTACATGTAAACTATAAATTATTGACTTACAATGATTTCTACAGTGAACAAATTTTTATCCAACATTGTTTTAAGTTCAATTCTGATTTCATCGCAGGTATTAACACGATATAACTCAAATCATATATATGTTTTTTATAGGATCTATCAAGCTCAGTTACAAGCCAACAAATAAATATACTTAATAAATAAATTTGTTAAGTACTTTAAACAGTCATCGTAAGATCAGTAAATAAATTTAAGTTTCAAAGTCTTAATATTTTCAACATAAAATGTTACCTTTATCATATTATACGTTTACTTTCATTTTTATTTATTTTTATGAAAATAAACATATAATATTGTAACAAAGATGACATTTTTATATTAAAAGTATCATGACTTTGAATCTAAAATTTATTTACTGACTGTATGACTGTATAAATAACTTACAAAATTTATGTATGAAGTATATTTCATGTATTAAGTAAATGAAATTAATTCATATAGAAATAAACAGTGCTCTGAGGTTTGCCTATTTGTTATATATATTCATACATAAGCTATCCTCAAGTTTTAAAGAAAACTTTAATACTAAATAACTTTTCCTAATATTGTATTACAATAATTAATTGTTAATGAATTTTTATAAAGAAATTTAAAAAAAATTTGGTAATTTGGATTGCAATGGCAAAAAAATCTTAATTCATACTCTGATTTAATGCCATAACATTCATTATGTAAGAAAATATAATCTTATGAATAATACGTTACATTATTTTTGTCTTCACAAAATTTGCCTAAATGAAATGCAGCTGCTTGTAGCACAGGAAATGTTAAATTTATTTCTTGAACATCCAATTCATGATTTTCAGGTAGTTTAATATCTTCTGTGAGTACCATATTAAATACAGTTGAATTGATGTTTCTGTCCTAATAATAGCAGAAAGTGTTGAAATCTATAATTTTTTTGTATTTACTATACGTGATACAAGGAATCAGTATGAGTAACTGAATAATGCGCTATACACAGATTCAGAGACACATGCCTCATTTAAACCTGTAAAATTTATGAAAAATTAAAATAAAATATATTTGATAGATTTTAATTTGTTCAGTTGAAACATCGTATCAAATTTATTAGCCTAGTTACACCTTTTTCATAAAAAAATTAAAAAATTAATACCAAGGATTACCATTACTAGAGACATCAAACATTCTCCTGGCTCTTTCATTAATCAATATTTATAAACAATGTTGAATAATTTTCCTAAAAACAATTATTAATAATCACGGTGTCAATATTTCATGTTTTTGATTACATACATACGGCGCATGCGTAACAATGAAGGCTGGATCGCACAGCATGTTACATTTTTAAATCTACAAACGATTACAATTTTATAATAAATAAATATCTATTAAATAAAAAGTAATATTATTGTACAGCACTATCTATTTTTGACCTGAAAATTAAACTATTCCTCATTTAATTTACAAAATCAATTAAAAACTAAAATATATTGTATTGTACTAACAACTTCAAACGGAAATTTTGAATAGATAATACCTGTATACTTGGATTGAACTGTTAGCTAACTTCATGAGTGTCGGTAAACTTATAGCGGTCGCTCCTCAACAGTTTGACCCAGTGCTAGGGGGCGCCACAAGTCAGTACCGCCAGCCACACGGAAGAAAGCTAACTATTGTGCGAACTGCCGAGAAAATAGTTCTAAACTCTCTCTCTCTGCCTCCGGTTGCCTACAGGTCAAAATTAGGTCGCACGCGCAAGTTAATTCCAGAAATTCGTACCTAGTTAATATTTGCTCTAAAGTCAATTCCGTATCAATACTTTTCTGCCTCGGCTCTGACGAACGGCGCGTAGCCTTTTGTACTAAACTCAAAGTTGTATATATTGACTTAATTTCTGATTGTGATACAAGATTTACACAAAATTCCATTGGTCGAGTACTGGGATTTGCACTACGAAAACTAGAAAAAAAAACAACTCTCACCACTCAGATATTTCAGCAAAAATTCTCAAAGTAAATGCTCTAAGAGTCGAGTATAATATTACCTCAGGTGCATATATAAATGAAAGTAAGGTTCACAATATTCATTGATTTTTTCCTGCGGTACCACCTGGATATAAAGTTATCGAAGTTTCTTCAAATGTGATTTATCTCCCCGTTACCGTAAAGTATATAGATAATTTTCAATCACGCATCGTTGATCAAGACGGAAATTTAATAAACTTTCGAAATGAAGTGAGAACAATTAGATTACACCTGAAAAGTACCTGATGGAAATCGTTTACAATTTAAACAGTAGTGGCTACAGTAGTGAACTAGAAACAATCATCAGCATCGAATGGCTTATGCTGTATGTTACTGCATCGAATACTCCTTGATTTTTTGAAAAGGGAAAGAAACATTTCGATGAGTTTTCGTAATTGGTAATTATATGAGTTCTCCAGTGCTATCTATGAACACAAGTCATATATGCACAGTCAAAACTGCAAATCAATTGAAAAAACCACGTTTTTATCATAGCTTTTCAAACTAAACGAAAAAATATTCCAACAGTTAATGCTAGCGTATTCGATCATTGCAACATTAATAACGTGAAACTTTTCCTTAACTCTCAGTGTTATCCGTATGGTAAGCTTAATATTGACATAATAATAAGCATCAGTTTGCAATGTTGTACGACATGTATGCCAATTTCCAAAAGGCATACTATTGCAAAGACTCTGAACCGATGCTAAAAAAATCTACCTTCATGAATCAAGTACCACTCATTGTTATTGATTGCTCTAAACAAAAGGAGATATTGAAGAACACTACAATGGATATGTGTTTCGAATTAAAAACAAGAGAAAATATTCCTGAAGGAACTTCAGTGTATTGTCTCATTTTACATTATCGCATTATTCTATATAATCCAATAAGTGAGGTTGTGAAGAAACTTATTTGGGGAGTGCAGATCGTTGTATTAAAGAGATGACTTTTCCCTCAAGCAGCTCAGTAATAGCCAAAATGGAATACGTAATGGATGCCTGGCAAAACGTATGCCTTTGAGGAGCTAACGATACTTCCACTTAAATGCGACGAAGGACCACTCGTACGATTATTCAAACCTCCGTTTCCATGGCGAAGACTAACAGAAAAATGTAAGCGTTATAATCTTTGGATGGAAATCTATTACCATAGATTAGAATGGGACTCTGGTGATTTCACGTATGAAGAGCATAAATTCATCACCACAGACACGCTTGAAAATGCCACAAAAATGTTCGTTTCCGGAGATCTGAAAAAAGAGTGGTCAGAAAGATATGGCCTCAAAGTTTTTGACTTGAATGATTGAGGCTATTCACCTTTTGAAAATATGAAATCAGTTACTGTGTGTCCTAACCATAACGGTAAATACGTGCGCACATCAAAACGTCAAACTTATGAAAAAGTTTTATATAAATTGTTGCTGCATAGATTGGAAAGAAAGCAATAAAATTATTGAAGGATTTCTATAAGTATTCTTTTAATAAATGTCGTGTAGAATAAAATTTATTTTTTAACAATAAAATATTTCATTTAAGAAAAAAACATCATATATAATTACCATTGACGAAGCCCTCTCCCTCGCTTCTCTACTTCATTGATTAATAATAACATAGATCTGCAAAATGAGGGGTTGGGATTCTTGTTGGTCAACTGAAGGTTATTTCCGAAGTAGTTTTTTGCGTAAAATTCAAATCTGGAGTCAGAATGTGTCCAGGTTTTTTAGATATCCTAACCTAAAAGGGCAAAAAAAGCAATTTTTTGATATATTTGAGGTTCCATAACAACTCTGAACAATTTTTTTTTTCTGAAAACGGGGGAAACCATATGAAAGGTATACATCCTTTAAAACCTATATTGAAGATTTGAGATCTCTTTTTTTCATCAAGATATCGTTGATTCGAATCAAGTATTTTAGCAGCCCCGATACTGCTATTTTCCCGGATGCGCACATACGGCATATGCAAGGCTATAACCTCACGTCTTTATATTCTAACTTCCATAATCCCCGAGCACTGTAAACTACGACGCCATAGCCTCAGACACTTAAATCCCTATTTCCTTAACCCTCGAACTCTTTAACCTGCGACGCTATAACCGTAGACCCTTAAATTCCTATTACCTTAAACTTAGAGCCCTGTAACTTACAACGCTATAACCCCAAACCCTTATACCCTAATTGCTTTAACCCTCGATCCCTTTAACATACGTCGCTATAACCCCAGACCATTGAACTTTAATTTTCTTAATGCTCAAGTCCTATAACCTGCGATACTTATTGGGTTAGTATCATAACTTCGTAAACGCGATAAAATTATCTGGTAAGCCGCTTTTATTTTTGTGACGTTATTCACGGAGAGTTTTTTCAAAACGGTTTCCAAATACCATTTTCACGGCTATCTTTCCAGAGAGGATTTTTCGATGAGAAGTTTTCATCAGTCGTTTTCACGACTCTGCTCTTGGTGAGTTCTTCTTTAGACTTTCGAATTAGCCGTTTTCACAGCTACCTTTCATGGCAGGATTTATCGATGACCAGTTTTCAAGTCGTTTTCACGACTCTGCTCTTGGTGAGTTCTTTTTTGGAGTCTTTATCAGACGTTCTCATAACTACCTTAAATTGTGTATATTCTATCAGCCGTTTTTACATTTTCGTTTTCTTTATACTTACTTATAATAGACGTTCATAGGTGTTCAAATGACCTAAATAATTTTTGTTACAACCGCAGTCGTTTTATGTTTTCGAAGCAAAAAAATTGACATCAATGAAAGTGTTAAACAGTTTTATGAGATATTTCAATATATCGATTTCAAGTCCAGAAAAACCTTGGGTTCCACACAAAGTTTGTAAATCCTGTGTTGAAACTTTAAGACGTTGGAATAATACCACAGTCACAGTTACATCCATGTCTTTCAAAACATCAATGTTATGGCGGGAGCCTTTTAGTCACGATGACTGCTATTTTTGTTTAACTAAAACTACTGGCTTCAATTCTAAAACTTCTCATCTCCAAATATATCAAATGTCACGAAACCTATGATGTAGAGACCTGACGATATCCCTCCTAACCCCCTCCAAGTTGAAAGAAAAATGCTGATACTAATATAGGTGGTGAGAAAAAAGATCTCCAAGAGTCTGCAGATTGTGATTCTTATGATTGTAAAGATTCTAAATCTCTACCAATTCGTTTTGATCAAGCTGCACTAAATGACTTATTGTTAGTCCGAGACTTAGGCTTGCCTAAAGACAAATCTGAACTACTGAGTTCACGGCTAAAAGAAAGAAATATTCTTGCACCTGAAACTACATTTTCTTGGTACAGACATCGAGAAAAGTCATTTACTCCGTTTTTTTTGCCAATGTGAGAATTATGTTTATTGTATATTTATTTATATTTATTTATATTTATTTCATGGTTTAATGCAAAAATGTGGACTGACATATGATCCTGCTGATTAGAGGTTGTTTATAGACTCCTCTAAAAGGAGTTTGAAATGAGTTTTGTTACATAACTTTAATAAATATGCTCCTTTGCTTATTGCTCATTTTACTCACTTGAAAGAGTAATATAAAAATGCAGATATTATTCTCCAAGCTTTTCAATATGAAAATCACAAATCGGATGTATATGGAGATTTGAAAATGGCTGGTATGCTTCTTGGACAATAGTCAGGGTTTACAAAGCACCCATGTTTCATATGTTTATGGGATAGCAGAAAAAGGGAGCAGCACTATGTTGAAAAGGATTGGCAAACTCGTTCTTCCATTAAAAAAGCCGATCCTATATATTTAAAAATCCATTGGTTGATCCAAAAAATTACTACTACCGTCGCTATATATCGAATTGGGACTGTTGAAGAAATTTATGAAAGCTCTTAATAAAAATAATGCTTGTTTCAAGTATCTCATTGAAAAATATCTTAACCTGAGTGATGAAAAGATGAAAGAA